AACTTAATATATGAAAATCTTATAAATTAAGACATTAAACAGAAAGCAAGATTCCTCAGACTGAGACCTCTGGTCCATCTTTAACATTTCAATTTGCACACAGAAAATAACTGTATGCACAACTTTTTAGGACTATGCCCTTCATGTATGTTAATACATACTCATTTTAATCAATTTATGAAAGACTAAATATTTAGAAGTAAAAGGTAAACATAAGAGTAAAGTTTGAAATAAATAATAATGTTAACTACTTCTTTGAACTTTAAAGAATGAAAATGTAGCCATTATGTAAATATAAAAAGAGGGTTTCATATGTACCTGATTTATTTTGGCACATAAAGTCAAAATATGAATGTGTATATATGTGTGTATATATATTGCACAACTGTTAGAACTGTATATTTTTTAAAGACAAATTGTCTTGGACGTTTTCCTTCATACATAATGTATAAATTTTTGTTAAGATGTGATATGTATATTGCTTTGTTTGATTAACTGGTTTTTGTCTTTTTTCTCTCAGTCGAAGATATAAAAACGAATGTATGCATGTCTGTACATAAAGTTGCACAATTCACTTGATTTCTGAAAAACAAAAATCAGATTGGAGTAGTAATCAACATAAATTACTTAAGAGCTTTTCTCATATTAAAGTCGGAGAATCAAACAGAAAAGTATTTAATTGTAAACCACTCTTGTCATACCACGTTACTGGATATCATTAAAACCATTCTGAAACTAAAGCTATTTACTTTGAATTTTGAATTGTACAGCTTACGCGTTTCACTGTATCTTACACACTCAATGTGCTTCAGAACACATTCAAGACTCAATATAAGAAAAGTGAGGACGTCTCGAGCTCTTACATTCCTAGCAGTGACCATAGGATGTTTTGTAGGAAGCCTAACTTGCCTTCCTAGTTTAGGGACCAGGTGTGAAGGCTTGCTCCTCACAAAGTGGTCCACAGACAGGCAGCGTTGCATCACCTGGAGCCTGGATGCAGATCTCAGGTGCCACCCAGACCTACTGAATTCAAATCGGAAGTTTAACAAGATCCCAGATGGTTCATGCTACATTAATGTTTGAGAGGCACCTCTCTAAAGCCCAGCTTCTCTCTTGAATAAAACGTGTGCTTGGGAGAAAGTAGACGTCAGCCAAAATGTGGCAACATGCAGAAGCAGTCCATCTGCAGAGTTGCTTTTTAAAAAAATTTTAGTAGTAAGCAGGAGGGTTTAAATATTTTTATTTTGAGGATTAAATATACTGAAATGAACATGCTGAAATGGTAAGACAAGATAACACATTGGGCTCACGGACTGGCCATCAGTATAGGTGGCACATCAACGCAAAGTTGTGTGGTAGGTGCACAGACGTCTCCCACGCCCACGTGGGGCTCTCTCCCTGCCCATCTCCGTCCCAGGGAACAGTCATAGGCAGCTTACTGCAGAACCACCACCAGTAAGTATGTGCGGCACGCACTGTACGTGAAAATACACCTTTGGAGAAAAAGAACGTTAGTTTTTATTTTTTCACAGAGCAGGTTAGGAAGTGCTGCTAAACGCCTATGTTAAAGCTAACAACTAGTCACAAATTGGAAAATAATTTTATACTTATTCACTTTTTTTAAAAGCAATCCTTTTACTTATCACCTTTTAAAAACTACAAACATTTTAAAAGACTCCTCCCTCATTTTATCATAGGCCTTTAATATTTTAAACTAAGATACCAACTAAAGATTGGAAATCATCTTATTCAAAATCAGGGACTAATTTTCATCTAAGGACCACTCCAACCTAACTTACTTTAAAGAAAATGGCTGTAAACCTAAACTGAACTTTTTGTTTCTGTGCAAAATAAAAGTAACAGACTAAAAATCGAAGCCTCAAGTCGCTCTTACTATAACCCCGGCTCTACTGCCCTCTGCTGGGTGGTCTATCTAACTACACCACACAAATCGTGAACCGCCTTAAGAGAGGTCTTTAAGATGCTTGATGCTCAGTCGCTATGCGAGATGTCATAGGAGGGGAGTGGGGAAGGGAGCAGAGGACCTACCCACTCCATTAGCCAGATACTTTTACGCATCCGTAAGCGCTACAACTACACGTCAGGTGTGTTTCATTTCGGGCACAATACTTAATACCAACAGCACTTTTGAGCACTTCTGAGTGCACGGGCTGGTTAGACAGTGCGGTGACAGAGACAAAAGTCTCTCACCTCCAGAAGTTCATGGTCTTGTGACGAAGATAAACTAACAGATGCTGTACATCAGGCGGCAGTAAGTACCTCAACAAAATATAAAGCGAAAGTAAGGGAACAGGATTCCAGTCTTAAATAGGATAGTCAGAGAAGGCTCCCTGAGGAGGTAACATTTCATCACGGACTGAAATAAAGTGAGGAAGCAGATTATGGGACTATCTGGAGGCAGAGCATTCTGGAGGGAGGGACAGGTAAGAGCCCTAAACCAGAATAAACCTGCCACATAGCAGCCACAGCAAAGCAGGGAGCCTAGAGCAAGAGAGGAGGTGAGGAGGCAGGCAAGAGCCAATCACGCAGGCAGTAGGCCGTGGTGAGGACTCCGGGGTTCTAAGATGTCATCAGCTATCAGAAGGTTCTGAGCAGGATGACGAGAGACAGAAGAGCGGCTGCAGGGACACTGTCAAGGCCACAGCAACAGTCCAAGAGAAGCGGAGTGGTGGCTGGACGACAGGTGTAGCAGGCGAATAAGGAAGAAGTGGCGGACTCAAGAGGTACCCAGGAATCGTTTTCTAATTCTCCAATAGGTTCATTCAGTGACCTGAGGTCAAGACTCAACCACTGGCTTCTTAACCACTATTTCTCCCAACATACTGAAAATATATTGTGGCTCTAACATCATAGCCAAAGGACCAAAATATTCACAGAAGTCACAAAATACTTCATTCACTGACCATTCACTGTTATTTTCAAATAAGACAAAATTGCTCTCATTTTGCTACCCGTTGAAAAATACTTGAAAGATTAAGTAATTTGAATTTCCTACTTCTTGAGTGAACTTACCTAGCTCTCATACAAAGCCACAGTTCCAAAGTGACTTTGAAACCTTGCAGCTCATCTGCTTAAAGGCTGAATTTTTTTTTAGGTTACTCTTCTAATCACTTGAGTAGCCAAGTAAGTGATGCTAGCCCCTTAGTATCTCAGCCACCAACCAAGTCAGCCACTCCTAAGAAAGAGAGGATCAACTCCATTTTAAGTCCAGTGCAATGAACCCAAAATTTTCAGGGACGTTCCATCCCGACTTCAGCATGCCCCAGATCAACTCCTCACCTCCGTATTGGAGACATCAAAGCATAAGTCTGCATTCCAGACTTAGAATACAGCCTACTTAACGAAGGCATGATTCTTTCAAAACATGGTTACAGGATATTTTATGTTCTTTAAAAATATACCATCAATAAAGATCCTCTAAAGAAATATTTGAGTAGAAAAATCCTGAAATCCACATATACCTCATATATGGCAATGTACGTCATATTAACAACACAGGTACAAAATCCTAGGAATATCTATGGTGGGCCAGTAACCCCATGATAATGTGCTTTCAGACAGAACGCACCTGCCTCTGTCCAACTGCCAGCCCGTTCTCAAATGGGGGCAGGCTAAAGTCTGGTGGAAGGGAGGAGGCAGCATTGAATTGAGAGAGGGTAAGGACAAGACCAGACAGGCAAGCCCTTCTCCGTAAGAGTGCTAGGTGGAGGGTTTGTCTGCCTTCCCAGGATACTTCCAGCCCAATCTCTCTGCACAGGTGAAGGAGTAAGCACCAAGTTACCAGGAGATTCCTCACATCAATGAGGCTGTGCTGTAATTCCCAGGCAAAGACAGAATGCACTTTTCCCCACGGTATGTAAGGCTGGCAGATAAGGACCACCGGGTGGGTGCCTGGCAGAATAGGCATTCAATATTTCTTGAATGAATTCCTTATGTAAAAAACGCTTCACTAGATGTAACGACTATTACCAACAAAAACAAAAATCAACCTAAGCGTCTGAAACTACAGTCTGTTTCCAATATGCATAATGCAAATTTTGTGATATCAATTGCCCACGTCAACTTTTTATTACTTTAAGAGCTACATGGGGCGGGCCTGGTGGTGCAGTGGTTAAGTTCAGACGTTCCGCTTTGGCAGCCCAGGGTTCACCGGTTTGGATCCCAGGTGCAGACATGGCACTGCTTGGCAAGCCATGCTGTGGTAGGCGTCCCACACATAAAGTAGAGGAAGATGGGCATGGATGTTAGCTCAGGGCCAGTCTTCCTCAGCAAAAAGAGGAGGATTGGTGGCAAATGTCAGCTCAAGGCTAATCTTCCTCAAAAAAAAAAAATTTTAAAGCTATATGGAACTTATATACTCAGATCCACCAAGATAGTATATTGGCCAAGCAAAAATTGGGCCATTAGTATAAAGATCTTGCAGAAAACTTCACTGTTTATTAATGACTTCACTAATGATAATGTTGAATAAAGAGAACTATCTGAAAATGCTTTAACAAACCACCATTTCATTTTCCTTTTTAACTGGTTGTGGATCAGATTTTAAGTATCAACTAACATTATAGTACAAAGCACCTTTGTTGCTAGTTAGTTTGCCTGGTTTTGCCACAATTTTATGCTGATTTGTATACTGATGCAATACTAATAACTAATAAAATACAGTAAGTGTTATGGTATGATTATAGCTTCTGAAATACTAGAAATCTCCATATTATGAAATATTTTAGGTATTATCACTGAATTTAAAAAACAGAAAAATACTGCTTTTAAACTTTTCTTAATAGTATATTTATTTTTAAAAATATATAAATTCTAAAAATACATCAAATCAAAACTGGCTTCTAATGATTTTTTATACATTCCAGTTCTACCAACATTCCCATAATGCATCCCTGATAACTATGACATCGCTGGATGTGGGGGCAGGGGATGGGGGGGCAGGCTCTCTTTGAGACAAAGTCAGCAAGAAGGGGCCACACTTCAGTATGTCGAGTTACAATTAGAACGTAGTCATGGAATAATGTGTCTACCAAAGGCATCCTTGCTCACATTTAAATTATTCTTCCATTTCTTCTCTAAAGCTCTTCCTCCACCTGTAGTTTCTGCGTAGGTCCTCATTCTAAACACCCATTTATTTTGCTTTTTTCTCCCTTTTGTCCCACAGGTGGAACATAAGAGATTGTGCTTCAATAAACTATCTTCACTTTCGGAGAAGAAAAACCAAAATGTGATCAAAGATCAAAGTTTAACACATTTAAATGTTAGTGCTCTAAAAAACTGTGATTTAATCATTGGTTGCCCAAAAGCATTCTTTATTTCTTTTCCAAGATGATGATGATTCTTCATACAGTTCCTAAAAAACAGAAGCATAGCAGGTATTCAAAACACAGCATTTTAATAAATGCAAATATATTTGAATAAATCAGGCAAATGAATATCACAACTATTTAAATCTGCTCCTCTTTTAACAATCCAATAAACACTGGCAGCATTGTATTGCTCTTAATAAAGCACTGAGAGCAGAAAAACGAGTAAACACGTTCCCTACACTTAAGGACTCCCAATCCAGTAGGAGAAACAACAGACAGTAAGCCTTAACAAGATAAGGTGCAACCACAGAACGGAATAAATAATTAATTCCTTTTAGGACCATGACAGGAGACAGCCCAGGCAAGGTTAGGTAGAGAAGATGGAAAGTTTTTAGTTTTAAACATTTTTTTCTTTCTAAACACACCGACTCCTCGACATTTCTAAATATGCTTTTCCAAAGGCGGAAGGGATATTTCCATTAGCTGTGAAGTGCCCACCGCAGCAGTTCTTAAACAGGTTTGCGCTGTGCTCTGGTGACAACTGCTCTGTCAGGACGTGCCCTATCTACCCGCCCGGCCCTGCCTCTCTCACAGAAGACCTCGAAGCACAGGCTGGGACTGGAACCAGACTGCAAATTTTTGGAAAGACGGAGAATAAGAACATATCACTTTCTCTTCTCCCTCTCTAGTCAGATTCTATTCCTGAGGGCTAGGAATCCAAATTCAATTGTCCTCTACACCGGTACACCTTCCAGTCCTCTTCAGAACAGAAAAGGAAATAGAAAGCCCAGCTAGTCCTCAAAGCATAAAAATGAGAGTATGGCCAACTCCTGCCTGCTCCCTTATTTTGGGGGCCTACCCTCTCATTGACTTCCTGTCAGCTGGCTGTCCATTCTTTCCTTCCTGGTGAAGAGAGCCACCCCTGCCACCCAGGCTCACAACTCATTGTGGAATGCTCTTCCTACGGCTCCCTCTTCAGGGGGCTGCCTCGTGGTCTATCGAAATCACGGCGGCCTTGTTCACAGCAAGCTGCCATATATATCTGAATGTCACTAAGACAGTTTCCTTTCACATATCCTGGCCCAAAGTTTCCCCTTATTACAAGAAGCTTCCGTTTTTATTCAGAAAATATGGTCACTCAATTTCACATGCCCTGGTTCAGAGTCCAATTTGCTCATCTCTACAAGTGACTGGGGCAGCGGGCTCCTAGGAAGGACTCGCTGTCTGGTCCTCTGCTCTGGCCTTCTGACCTACTAGACGGTTAATTCATTCCTCAGCTTTGCGACCAGCCACAATGCTGTGGGTGATTCTAGACTCTTAAGAGTAATTACATGTTTGAGAGTTCAGAACAATCCCACTGTGATGTTACTACATGGGGTGGGGGTGTGTGGTGGGGGGGAAATTAAGGAGTTGGGCCTTTCCATCCCTTCAGAATGCTCTATTTAACCAGAGAATTGTTAGCTTTTATTGATGGGTTTAACATATTGACAGAAAACAAGCTAGAATTTCCTATTATGTTTTTAAATTCACTCACTATGCATTTTCTCTGAGGAGGCAACACCCCACCCTTTTTCTTTTTCTCAAAAAGCTCTAGGAGAAGGCTCTTTGCCTTAAGGAATCTCTATTGTAGCCACTGCCTAAATAGCCATGCATATTCTCACTCTCCAAAGGAAAGACCCTTAAGCCAAGGGAATTCTAATCCAAGAGAAACGACTGCATATATGAACTACTGGAATAGTCTAGACTAGGAATTCTACTTGTTACCACTTGTTGAAGCCTACTCTATGCCACGCATTCGTGGGGCATGTGCTTTTCATGCTTCAAAAACCTTGGAAAGGAGATATTACATAAACACTCTATTTCACAGATAAAGAAAACAAGATTCTATAAAGTCAGGAGAGGCCCATGAATACAAACTCTGTATGTACTCTTATTCCTTAGCCTTTAAAAATTCCTGGAAGAAATCAAGACCAGATGGCAAAATTAGGTATCTCCTTCACTTACCTTTTTCCATATGGGCACCCTGGCTTTCAGAGCATCAATGGCATAGCTCACAGCCTCCAAGGATGCAGCCCTGTGGGCTGAGGACACAGCAATGATTACGCTTGCTTCTGACACTGGAACTAAGCTTTAACAAAATGAAGAAAGAAATTTACCATCTCCTCTGAATCTGTGTGTTAAAGAATCAACAAGACAGACGAAAAAAAAATTCTTAAACCATCCAGTTCTGTTTTACTTAAACATCCAGTTTAGTTAGAAAACAGTAATGCACCCCAGTTGCATTCAGCAAAGGGGATGCTGAGGTTGTGGCTGATTTGTTGGCATCTATCCACCACACCTGTCTGGTGTGCACCAGGAAGAAAGGGTCCTTTCACTGATTCAACAAACATCTCATTCAAACCAACAAGGCACAGAGCCAGGCAAGGCCTGGAGATAAAGTTACCAAATGATGAGTATAACGTAGAATTTAAAATATTAAATAGCAATCAATACTAATAGGATTGATAACATTATTAATAGTTTATTAATAAAATTATGGTTATTAATAACAAAACCATAACTAAGAGAATATGAGAGATGCAGCCTCAATTGCTGGGTTCTTTTTTAAAGCTCAGAACTCTACGCTTCTTAATGGCACAAAAAGGCAACTAATTTAATGATCTTCAAAGTCATTTATAGAAAAACAAATCTCTTGGGGCTGGCAGGGTGGCATAGTGGTTAAGTTCACGCACTCCACTTCGGCAGCCCAGGGTTCGCAAGTTTGGATCCTGGGTGTGGATCTAAAAACTGCTTATCAAGCCACACTGTGGCAGTGTCCCACATGTAAAATAGAGGAAGATGGGCATGGATCTTAGCTCAGGGCCAATATTCCTCAGCAAAAAGAGGACGATTGGCGGTAGATGTTAGCTCAGGGCTAAATCTTCTGCCAAAAAAAAAAAAATCTCTTAACAGACTGTCATATAAACAGAGTCCAAAATACAAAACAATTCTTCAAAGGCCTCAAGGACTTTGGCACACATTAGCACAGGCTGTTGGGCGCAGGGCCTAAGAGTCTTGGCACATTGGACTTTGCTACAGCACTAGGCACTCTCCAAATGTTACAACCTAACAACCACTGGGGAGGCATCTCTAGTGTCCGCCAGAATAATACACAAACCTTCCTCTCATGGTAATACAAGATTCCTATGAAAGATTCCAGAATCAGAATTAGTACAAAGGCAGAAAACAACTATATGTAACTTCTAAATTGATAAAGGAAGTCATACCCAAGTCTGTGGAACACTGCAATGTGTCTGACGGGCCATTTCTGTCTAATGTCACTACAAATTTTTCTGACTTCATTTTCTGCCATCGGTAGATATGCTTCATATTCTAAGCTAATGACTTTTTTCCCTTCAAAGTTATTTCTTGTAGTCCCTAAAAAAAAAATTGCAATTAAAATAAGATTTCTCCTTACAATAAAAATAGCACAATAATATAACAAAAAAGGATGATTTTTGAATAGACAAGCAGCATATCAATTTATCTAAAAATCACTTTGACATCTAAAAACGAAAACTTGACTAGAAAAACAAAACATAATTATAACAAAGATACGGAAATAAAATGACACTGATTAGGCAAGCTCACTGAAAACACTCACACAACAAACCAGGATAACTTCCTTTTCTAACTAACAGCATTTGATACTTAAAAGAAAAACATTATGTTCTCAGGATTATCATTAAGTTATTACCATCACCATTTTTTTCCCTCAATATTTAGAAAATACAGAATTCTCTCTCCTAATAGTGACTTTTAGCCTATTTCTAAAAATGCCTTTAACATAGGTTAATTTGAAGGTTACTAAAACAAAACAAGAACTAAAAAAATTTCTACCCACTATCATGGGTAATCTTGGTTTATTACTTAGTATCTTAAAATCCTCTGACTATGAAGGACCAACATGGGAAAGAAACACTTGCTAATTTCCATTGTCTTGCACAGTCAACAGAAACTGTGAAAATAACAACTCACCTACAAACAGGGATATTGCACCACAGAGCGGAGAAATCACCAACTGGGAGACTTCATCTACTGAGAGTTTCTCAGCAGTGAATTGTATTATATCTTTAGCTTTCTCCTCAACTTCACTCTTATCTTTCCTAGAAATAAGATATTAATAAGCCTTAACACTGGTACAAGAGGCAAAACACCCAACTTATAGGCTGTGTCTCAATTTATATATTTTCTACATGAGAGGTGTTAGGAGGCATGATTTGATCTGAATGATAAAAGTAAGTGTAAAATTTTAGCAAAACCCCATATATTTATAAATATCGCTATGAATCAAGCACGATATAAAACTGAATTTACCATGAACATGATCACTTAAAACGTCATCTACTTCACATGCCAGTTTATCCCAAATTCTAGAACCGCCACTCTTAGCGCCCATCGCAGGGTAGTTCAGATCGCAACACCTTCATCCACAAGCACACCACCTCTAACCACCGAATTACCACGCAGCACGCCTAGAACTGCCTTTTTCTTTATCCAAAAAGGAGAGAGGAAGAAGGGAAGTGATGGTGACTCCACTGGATTCCAGGCACAACCCCAGCTAAGTGAGGAAATAAGGAAATAGCTGCGTGCCTGTCCACAAGGCGTTGCGCAGTCCTTTGCCATGCATTTTTCATTTCACTCAGCAAGCACTTACTACACACAGTACTCACCGAGGGCCAGACACTAATACCAGGCACTAACTACAGAGGAGGGGAAAGAGGACACTGCTCCTGCCCTCAGGGCACTTATACTAGGATGGGAGAAACACAGCAATGAACAGCAATTACAAACAGGGATAACTTATGGAAATAAACAGGGTTCTGAGACAGAGAAAGGGAAAATGGGCTATTTAAGAAAAGAGCGTCTCAGAAGGCCTCTCACAGAGGTAACATTCAAAGTTGAGACCTGAAAGATAATAAGGCAGCCCTGTAAAGAAACAGAGCAACAGGCCCCCAGGCAGAGACAGAAGGAATGGCAAACGCCAAGGCTCTGGGACAAAAAAGCATGGTGTGTCGCTCCAGAACCTAGAGGAAGGCCAGAGCCCACGGGGCAGGGGAGAGAACTGATGGGCTGAGGCTGGGCAGGTAAGTCGGACCTTGCAGGCCACGAAGAGTCTGGATATAATCATAACTGCTGTGGGGTTTCATCCACATCGAAAGATGAAGGAAAGAAGGCTCAGAGGAGTTAAGGACTCACTCAAGGTGATTCCAACCAAGGAATCTTACCAAATCCAGTGTTCTTTTCCCTATCTCCTTCCAGCCACCGATAAGAAAAGAACCATTATCCATACACCACTGGGTTCTCAGATGTTTCACCTCCTCTACAGGCCACCTGAGCTTCTTCCATCTTTTTCTTGCAATAACATATAGGTAACCCAAACATGGTCTATGAACCCCAAACCACAGCGAATTCCCACAACTTGATTCTGTAAGGACACAGATAGGTTCTAAAATTACATATTACAAATCCTGTCAACCACACTCAAATAATACACAATGCTTTGAGTAATCTTCCCAATCTTTTTGAAGAGCAGCTCTAATCATCACTGTCTCTCTCTCACACACACACACCTTTAATGGCAACTCATTATTTTCTGAATAAATTCCAAACTCCGAAAAATAGCATTTTTCTAAAATCATGGTAGTGAACATGAAAAGATGTTCATCATCGCTAATCATCAGGGAAATGCAAATCAAAACTACACTAAGATATCACCTTACACCCGTTAGATTGGCAAAAACATCCAAAACCAAGAGTGACAAATGTTGGAGAGGTTGTGGAGAAAAAGGAACCCTCATACACTGTTGGTGGGAATGCAAACTGGTACAGCCACTATGGAAAACAGTATGGAGATTTCTCAAAAAGTTAAAAATAGAAATACCCTATGACCCAACCATCCCATTACTGGGTATCTATCCTAAGAACCTGATATCAGAAATCTCAAGAGTCCGGTGCACCCCTATGTTCATCGCAGCATTATTTACAATAGCCAAGACGTGGAACCAGCCTACATGCCCAGAAACTGATGATTGGATAAAGAAGATGTGGTATATATACACAATGGAATACTACTCAGCCATAAAAAAAGACAAAATTGGCCCATTCACAACAACGTGGATGGACCTCGAGGGTATTATGTTAAGCGAAACAAGCCAGTCAGAGAAAGACGAACTCTATATGACTCCACTCATAGGTGGAAATTAGTATATTGATAAGGAGATCTGATCGGTGGTTACCAGGGAAAAAGGGGGGTGGGGGGAGGGCACAGAGGGGGAAGTGGTGTACCCACAACATGACTAACAAAAATGTACAACTGAAATCTCATAAGGTTGTAATCTATCATAACATTAATAAAAAAAAAAAAAAAAATCATGGTAGTGATATGGCAACCACGGTTACCAAATAAAATTGAGACACGTACCTAAGAAGGAATTCTTCTATTATTTCCAAACAGTAGGACTAAGAAAGATCCAATCTCTATTGACACGCTGTACAATTTGCTTTCCAATATTCTTCACATTTTGGGGCACTGCCCTCCAGGAGAATAGGGGAAAAAACAACAGGCATCCTTGGCTTTTTCCTTTCTTTAAGGAAACCAAGGATGTGCCACTGAGTATGATATTTACTCTTGATTTTTGAGAAAAACCCTAACAAATTAAGAAAGTTTTTTTTCATTCCTAACTTACCAAGAGTTTTTAAGTAGGGATGATTGCTTATTTCTACATTATTCTTCAGTTGACAATAAATTAAGCCTCATTCTGTCTGTCTCTCCAGACTACACTGAGAAATGTTTACACATTATCCTACTCAAATACGGACTACACTGTTTGGAAAGATGGAAACATCACACAGCCACCTGCAACACAGCTAGAATAATAATATAATATAATATAATATGATATAATAACACAGCTGTTTTTTAATACCTGGAAAATAGCAAGCTTTCTTTTCAGGCACAGTGATATTTTTATTTTTTGGCTATATAATTTTTCTACATTTCTCTGTGCCAAGAGAGCTATTAGCCAGTATTAGCAAGCATACTTGTGAAAAAGTACACAGAGAGTCCAACAATCTGAGTTCAGATGTTGGCTCTGTCCCTTATTAGTTATGTGATCACAGACAAGTTTTCTAACTTCTCTGCATTTCCGTTTTCCTCCTGCAAGATAGGGGATATTAATACTCCAGTGTCCAGCACTGTGCCTAATACATACTATAATCTCAATAAACCATGTTAAGTGAATAAAAGGAACATATGAAACCGACAATAAACTGCTTACAACAGAATTGATGCAGAGACGATCGGTAGGTATTTATAAGTCTGTCTGTACTAACAGAGTTGCTGCTTTAAAAAAGAGTTGGTGCAGACAGACCTACAGAGAGTTACAGCAAACCATATACAAGTTATCCTCTGCATGATCCTTCTCCCCAAGACTGGTTAAAATGTCTCACATACCCAAGTGGCTCAAAAGCACTACCCTCCGCTAATGGGGGGGATGATGGCAATTTCGTCTCCTGATTGAAGCAAGAGGAGCTGATCTCCAAGCTCGACATATTCCTGACGAACAGCAAATATCACCTGATTTCTGACATCAGCCAATCTGAAGGGAAAAAAGGACATGAGAAGTATCAGTGCTGTGTTAGACCTCAAATTTCCTGTGCTGAAATCAAAAATGTTACATAAATATTACCTTATGAAGTATCACCTGCAAAGTTACTAATTAAACCAGCTCATTCTGCAGAGAAAAGACATATCCACTGAAGAACATATTTATTCACCAGAAAGAACACAGTAAACCGCTAACAACTCTTTACTGGATGTTGTGCGCCTTGGGGAATAAACAAACAAGCCCAAAAAACCCCCCAAAAACAAAAAACACCAGACTGAAGACAACAATCAGACCAGGTCAAAAAAAAGAAAAAGAAAAATTTCCTGATCAGAACACGTGCTCCCCGAGAGCCTTCCACCTACGTATACAAGTATACTATGTTTACCCCAGAAGCTCTCCCCAAAACCTGGGACAGAGGCCCCACTATATTTCATTTATTATCAGGGCACTTTAAGAGCAACTTGAAAGACAGAAAATCAAGGAACAGTGTCCTTCACACAGCATTAGGACGTCCAAGTGAAACATCTGTTCAGACTTAAGTGACACTATTATTATTCCTGAAATACCTCAAATAAGCCACTACTATACTTTGTTCCAAAAAAAACTTGAAGTAGGGACAATAGCAGTAAAATTATAGATTTTCAAGAACCAGAAACAAATATTGCAAAAACTCTAATTCAGCAGCTGCTAAAGTTTATCTTTCACTTTACTTTTAATCTTAGAAATTTCTATTTTCAGTTCTCTAAAGAAGGGGCGGGATATAAAAGTTTAAAGCACACATTTTTAACAGAATTTGTACCAATTTCACTTAACATTATAAAACGCAGAATCTACATTTTCAGTATTTTGTAAATTATAAAAGTAAATATAATCATGTCCTTTGGCAGTATTCCAGCTCACTGGTATCTTTTTTTAGTAAAGTATCTTTAACCTTCCTTAAGGAATTGTGTATGTTTAAATACTAGAATTTAAGTTTTTAGGAGTAGTTCCAGAAAAATACAACTAATGACCCTTTCTGACATTAAGTATGGAAATCAAAATTAACTTTTTTTTTTACTTTTATCATTTGGTCATTTACACATTTTTAAATATTAAAAAGTATTAATCATATGCATTCTACAAATTTTTAACTACCCAGGATGTCGTGTTTCTATCTCATTCCACAGCTGCAATGCTTTTATTTCTTGTGGCACAGAAATGGTCTCTGAGCGAATTCCTGCTATTTCAGCACTTTTTGCAAAATACAACACTTCAACCTGAAAAGGAGAGAAAATGCTTTTAACAACAAAAACTCAACAGTTCTTTCCTGACTGTCCATGCTGGGTTTTCTTTTTTTTCCAAATGTCTTTCATCAAAGACAAATTTTATAAGTTAAATTAAATCGCTTATAAAAATGTCAGTACATCTATAAGTTCAAATTCTGAAATATTTTTATGTTTTAAGCACAATTCAGACTAATTTCCGGATCCTTTTTAGTTTTACAAATGAAAGTGTGCCACAACTAAAATCCTAACAATATCCTCTTAGAAACCATGAAGTTAAGTCGGTCTTGACATAAAATTTATAGCAGCTTTTATAAACACTTAAGCAGCGAATAAAGGTCTAAGTCAAGAGATGAATTACACAAATAAAATAAATGACCAAATAAGAGAAAGACACGTCTTTCACCGTTATCATATGACCTTCGATTCCAGTCTACGCTACACTGAACCCAGCTGCTGAGGATTAAGTTATGCAACATACAAACACTGACATTTATGAAAGCAGGTGGGTCTGAAATACAGGATAAACTGCTATTTCCTAGAAGAACCTATGCAGTCAGCCTGGTATCTAGAGGATGTGACCAAGCAAAATAACCCACCTGTCACTCAGTGCAAATTATTCCCTATGAAATAGAGGTTTACAAATAATCAGGGGTTTGCAAACGCACAGATGAAGCACACTTCTTCACAAGAATTCCTAGTTAAGTGCATTTCTTTTGAAAAACTGGAAACTTGTCTTTGTCAAAAGAAGCAGGGAGCAAAGATCGACGCCGTCACCCGGACACCACGGGTTCGCAGAGTGCACACGACCTCCCAGGGGGCGGCCGCAGCAAAGCCTCCGCAGCCCGGAAGGGCCACAGCAGTCGCGGTCGCGGGCCCGGACGGAAGGCGCCAGGCAGGGCGGCTGTAGGGGGCGTCCGGGTGAGCAACGCCGGGTCTGTGAAGGGACGGGGCGAGGGCAGACACGGCCCGGAAGGACCTCCACCCTTACCTGGCACCGCGGCACCATCCCGCTCGCGATCCCTGGTCCGGTCTCCCGGCCGTGGAGGGGGCGGCGCCAGGCTGACCGAGAGCGCAGGCGCAACCTGATGGCTCCTTCCGCCCGCACTGGGCATGCGCAGAACCAGCTCCGCCCCACTGCTCTGTCTGCAGGCTGTCCGCGGCGGACAGCTGGGCTGAAAGCTCAGTTTTCTCCCGCAGGTGGGTCGCGGCGGGGAGCGTGAGCTACAGGTGTCCGTAGACAGGAAGAGGGCTGCCGATGCCTGCCCATCTCCTCCGAGGAGAGGCCGAGGGGCGGGAAGAGCCGATACCGGACTCTCCTGGACACGTGCCACCTGCGTTATGAAGTTCTGCTTGTCCACTCGCTCTCCTGTAGGCGTCTCCTTGAAACTTTTTATCTACCTGCCATCTGGTTTATGATTACTGTTCCTTAAAGACTTAGAGCATTCAACTTATCAGAGCATTCGAACTGTCTCACATTTACATTTTCCCTGTTTACTAGCTGCTCAGTAATTTGTCCGCATACTATGCATCCAACATTTCTAACTTTTTACCAACAAGAACTCTTTTAAATTACTTGAGTCGTTACGTGGGTATAAGCTAGGCGCCCCTCGGAGCTCATGGTCCTGGATGTGGGACGGTCAGAACCCATTAATGGTAACTCAATGAACCAAATGTCATGCTAGGGATACGTGTTCCATTTCATGGGGTGGGACGGGCAAAGGGGCTGGTCACCTGAGGAGTGCGCTCGAGGACGTCTTCAGCGAGGCGATGCTGGAGCTAAATCTGCTGCAATGAGTAGCAGCAAATGGCGGAGTCAGGGTAGGGATGAGGGAGTTTGACTAGCCTGTGACAAGCCAGAGAGCTATAAAGCAGGATAAAGAGGTCACAGAAGGACAAACAGTTGTGCGTGCCGCTTAACCAGGAAGTAACGGGAAATGAGGCTGAAGATAGCAAGTACAGCCGGTGGCAGGAAAAATTGACCAGGACTAAGACCAACATATATTCTGGTAAAGTTGTCAACATCAAAGATAAAGAATGATATTTGCATCCAGGTAGAAAAACAAGGGAATGATGACAGTGGCCTTGGATTTGTACATAACATCCAATGCCCGAGGATGGTGGTGTGCAATATGTAAAACCGGCTGAGAACAAAAGCATGACCCAAAATATTACATAAGGCAAGCTGGTGTTCAGGAACGCTGAGGCCTGAAACCCCTAAACCTGGAAAAACTGAAAAAATACAGCACCTGAGAGCCCTTAAAAAAACTCCTTGGGCAAAAGTCCAGTCAATCAAGAGTAATGAGAATATTAAAACAAATAGAAACTGCCCGAAATTGGAACATGTAGTTACAAAATATTGATTCAAGCCTCTTAATATTTTCATAATCTTGTTTCTTCATTTTAGAAGGATCTTTTAGGGGCAACTATATCTTGTAAATAAATAATAATCTGATGATTTATAATTCCTTCAGCTTCACTTCAGTTATTTTGTTGTGAAATCCAACTAAAAATAAATATCTAAAAAAGAAGAACAATATATAGTATAATTACATTTAAAAGAATTATGTCTGGGAAACATTAACACTCAGAGAAAAGAGATAGAATAACATTCACCAAATGATAACAGTTACTGTATCTGGGTAGTGAAATTGTGGATGATTTAAAAAATACTTTTGCTTTCCTCTTTATAAATTTCTCTTTAGCTTGATTTTTTAAAGTAATTTGTCTATTCTATAAATATTTGTTGAGTGCTTCTTGCTATTTAAGCACCCGGGATAGATCTGTGAACTACAAAAATATGGTCCTTGCCTTGTGGAGCTTGCTTTCTGGTTAGGAAGACAGACCATATGTAAGAAACAAGAACAGTTTGCGATGAGTGCTAAGAAAGAAATGAATAGTGGAGGAGCAGGGGGCACCTTCCTTAGGGTCAGGAGGGGATGACATTGCCTGACCTGAGCTGAGACCTGAAGGGTGAGAGGAGACAGCCTTGTGCGATGCTGGGGGAAGAGCATTCTGGACAGAGGCTTTGCAGTAGGAAAAGACTCGGCGCATCTGGAGAAAAGAAGAGAGGCCAGCGGGTCTGAAATGTAAGGAAAGGTAGAGAGCCCGGTGAGATGATTCGTGGAGATTAAGGCAAACTTGTACAGATCCTGGGAGGTCCTGAAACCCAGTTTGGATTTTATTCTACATTCAGTGGGAAGCCACACCCCCAAACACACGCTTTTGAAGACATGATTCTGCATCTGCCATTCTCAGGAGCCTGAGCACAAACAGGTCTGAAAAGGAAGCCAGTGAGACCTTATCTGTGGACTTTTCAGTTATGTTAGATAAGAAATTCTTTATCTTGCCCAATTACTTTCTGCCATCATTTTCAGCTATTAAATAATATCTAGTCCTAGATATCTGGTCACTTATTTTGGCCCGTGATCAGGAACTCTTCAGAAAATGTTACTTAGCTTCACTGACTTTATTTAAGCAAGTTGAGGCCTATATTCATATGCTATGTTAAAAAATAGAGGATGTTGATTTTCAAATATCAGTCCACATGTACCCCTTTATTATTAAGTGTAGCAGAATTTGTGAAATGTGAAAATATCTCTGAGGAAGTTTGAACTGTGTGGTGTGAGATCTTTAGACATTTGGCTAATATCTTTAACATATTTTTGGTGGAATTTGAGTCTCATTAAAAAATAGAGACACAATAGTTATTTTTAGAAAGACTAGTTCAACATAAACTCATCTGGAATTACACATTTTAAGAGATCCCCCAGAATTTCAAGTGCCTTTTTATACAAATGGCTTGTAAAGACATAGAGTATAGCATCTACTAATAAACAGCCTGGCAGACACCCTTACGCCTTGCAGGTGGACAGAATATTGGTGATTCGGTTTTGTGATTGAATGAAATTATTTACAAAATATCACATTCTTCTTGTGTAATTTTATCCGTTGGTAATTTTGAATAAAAACATAAAACCCAGCAAAAACTATATATACTTGTTAGTTTATTCAAAGAAATGAAAGTCAAGAGGAACGTGCCCTCTTGTGGTTAGTTATTCCAATTGCAAATCCTTCACCTACAAGTGGAAAGAAAATAAATATAAGAGATTTTTACAAATAGGGTCTTCACTGACCATATTTTAAAACCAATATAGAATCTTCCAGCTTCAGATAGCAGAGAAAAGCCAGATCTCAAATTTTAATTTCTACAAAATCTAAGATATGCACAACAAATAGTTTTTTAAAAACACATACACACAGAGAAAAATACACCACACAAGGGTTGTTAGCCAATGGAGAACAAAGCTCTTTTAAGGAGCATGGTGTGTGTGGGAGCTCTAGAATGCTCCCAACACTGACTTTCCAGAAGCATTAAGAGGAAAAGCTGAGGAAAACAAAAAGCTGAAAAGTCTTACCAAAGGGGAATTGGTGAAGCAGAATTATAGAAATAGAAGACTCACCCCTTTAGAAACAAAAAATCAATCTGAGGCAGTTGCAGGCGCAGGAAGAGGCTGAGTCACGAACCCTTGGGGGACAGCCCAGGAAAAGTCGTCCTCATCTCAAAGGTGCTCAAGAAGACAGCCAGCCCGCCCCACCTTTCACCCGTGGTCCGCGATTTGGGAGTAGAAGTGACTGATGCCTGAAAACAGCATGAGAACACAAGCCAGGCTTCCTCTCCTTAAAAGTAGCAAAAGTTCCAGAGACCCAAATCCTACTAGAGGCTGAGGATGACCTGAAGCCCAAGTTTATCCCTGGATGCAAAGAGGATACCCCAGGCATTATGAAGTAAACCCAGCCCTGAGACCTTTAATAAAACCGCAAAAGAGAGAACAGAGCCTGGTTTGGCCAATGGAGGATGCACACAGCTGAGAAAAATCTCCTTCCACTCGATTCTCATCCCGCCCCGTGCCCTCAGGCTACAGATAATTTTTCCTTTCCTGACAAACTTTTTCTCTAAAGGGCCAGACAGTAAATATTTAGACATACCAAGC